GAAACAAGAACAATATAAATTGTTAAGAACTTAATATTCCAAATAAAAAAACGAAACAAGAACAATATAAATTGTTAAGAACTTAATACTTCCAAATGGAAAAAACGAAACAAGAACAATATAAATTGTTAAGAACTTAATACTTCCAAATGGAAAAAACGAAACAAGAACAATATAAATTGTCAATACAAGAAAATGTGTGGATCTAGGCTTCCATAATTCTTAATGTTACTTTAAATGGCGTAACTTTTTGTAAACATGCAATGTTTCTAATGTCGTTGTACAACAACTTAGCTTCTTGTGATATATTCAAATAAATAAATAATAATAATAATGAAAACATAAATAAACACTTATAAGATCAATAATCTTGTGTTATTAAAACGGCTGATTTGTAAATGACTTAAAATAAAATTGACAATGATTGCAATTCACTTGCTTAATCTGGTTCACACTACAATATTTGTTGTTCATGAAAACTGATGATATATATGTATATGTATAACACCTAAGCCTCTACTATGCCTGTCTTTTCCCAACCGGCTAGATGAGCCCTGGTATTGAGCGAAAGACCTCATCGGCATGGGATATGTAGTGTAGTTGGTGTTTAAAATACCCTCTTTTGCTTTCAGTCGTGGGTTCTGAGAATTAATAACATATATTGCCATCACTACCTTAATAAGACAGAATGTATTACTCCTACAAGTTAATTTTTCAATTTTAATGTTAGCTTCCTGTTAACAAGGTTTCCACTTTCAGTCGAAAATTAACAAATCTTAGAAGCTAACAGAAACTGACAAATAAAGCCCAGTTTCCAAACCCTCAAACCTTATATTTTATTTCCTGTCGAGAAGCACAAGTTTTTCTGTTATAAGTTGAATAAATTGTGTAAAATGTCTAACGTTATGTAAGGCTAACGATTAATCGTATTTTTACCTGAATATCATACTATTACAAAACACCAACGAGATGGTCTAATAGATCATCCTTATTATTAAAAATACACAATTTAATGTTCCTCACAACTTGAACAAGTCAGTATTTGAACATTATTTTACATAGTGTTTTACGTATTCCGTTAAAGCCGAAGCGGTAAGTTATTTTCCCAGTATTTAAAACGTACTTATTATGTAAAATCTCTATTCATGCTCAAAGCTAGGTTTTGGTTTGGGTGAAAGTTCTTCGTACAATTGCAGTATTTGTATTTTTAAGCCTTATTCTTTATGTATTTCAGATAATATTACCAGATAGTTCACAAGTTTAAATTTGTAGGACTTATTTTTTTTCTTTCTTCTTACGTCGTTTAATAAATAATAATATGTTTTATCAGGTCTTATGTTCAACAGAAATTACGTATACTATTTGAATTCGTTGAATTTAAGGAATGAATATTTAGACACAACCTTCATGCCTGAGGATGTTTTCTGAGTATTTATGGGAACACTTTGATGTTCTTCGTAATAATTCTGCCTGGTCATGGTGCTATACATAAATTTTTTATCGTTAGGATTAAGGTAATAGACATGGAGAGTCATTATATCTAAACTATAGACATGGAGAGTCATCATATCTAAACTATAGACATGGAGAGTCATTATATCTAAACTATAGACATGGAGAGTCATCATATCTAAACTATAGACATGGAGAGTCATTATATCTAAACAATAGACATGGAGAATCATTATATCTAAACAATAGACATGGAGAGAGTTTAGATATAATGACTCTCCATGTCTATAGTTTAGATATGATGACTCTCCATGTCTATAGTTTAGATATAATGAAATAGACATGGAGAGTCATCATATCTAAAC